CACGCTGGTACATGTAGTGCTCCTTAACAGCGATTCATTTCTTGTTATTATATCTCTGAAGACATGTTTGATTCCCTTCCAACAGCATATCAATCATTCTTCTAATGACAACTTATCCTTACTGCACACAATGGAGTCATTATATGCACCATTACCAAACATGTAACTGTTATTTTTTCCCACTCTTCACCATATTGTTTTATCTATGTTCTCTGCTTCTAATTGTTTGGTTGAGAGTTTTGATTATTTTTATGTCTTGAAATAGGACATAAGGGAAGCGGTTTTTAAATGAATCATTTAAATTTATTATAAACAACAATTCGTGGAAGCTGTCTAATTTTATAATAAAAAGATGTCTCTCACCTTTAAAGAAATGTAAGCCAACTGCATTTATTATCCCATCGAACGAAGTTCGGAGGGATATAGGGAACGCCTCCGTCCGTCCGTCCGTACGTACGTACGTACGTACGTCCGTTCGTCCGTCCTGGCAATAACTCAAATACCGTTGGCCCGATTTTGTTCATAGTTTGTACACATATACCCTATGGGGGTAGAAGTTCTGCTCGAAAGCCGATTTTCAAAATGGCCACTCATTTCAAAATGGTGGCCATTTTAGTGCCGAATTTACAGTAATTTAGGCGCAATATGTAAAACTGTAATAGCAATATGTTTGAGATGTAAAAAAATTATATAGGACATTAATAAAGCTAGAAATGTAGATATTAAAGAAGCACATGGCAGCCATCTTGAAAAATGGCGGCCTTTACTCGTTATTTTACGATTTTTGCTGTAACTTGAAAAGTAGTGGAGCGATTTTGTTCATATTTAGTATGTGAAGACTATAAACATTGCACACTGCTTAAAGACACTTTTGGTAGAAGGCGGCCATTTTGAAAAATGGCCGCCATTTTGAAAAATGGCCACCATTTTAACATATTTTACTATAACTCGAAAAGTTGGGAGCGATTTTGTTCATATTTGGTATGTGAATACTATAAGCATGACACCCTGTCCTATGACACTTTTGGTAGAAGGCGGCCATTTTGAAAAAAAAATTGAAAAATGGCCGCCATTTTAACTTATTTTACTATAACTCGAAAAGTAGTGAAGCGATTTTGTTCATATTTGGTATGTGAATACTATAAGCATGGCACACTGTCTAATGGCACTTTTGGTAGAAGGTGGCCATTTTGAAAAATTGCCACCATTTTAACATATTTTACTATAACTTGAAAAGTAGTAGAGCGATTTTGTTCATATTCGGTATGTGAATACTATAAGCATGGCACATGGTCTAATGACACTTTTGCTAGAAGGCGGCCATTTTGAAAAATGGCTGCCATTTTTGCTATATACTTTGTTTGTAAAAATGCCATCCATAGCTGTTCGACGGGATTCGCTACGCTTTGGCGTTGTTCTGGTTTTTATTAAATTTCTGTTATATATGTATTGTATTGTATTTTACATGTATGTATTTAATTGAAAATTATTTGTTAACATCAACAATATTGAGGTTAGTCTCTTCTTTTTCACATGTACTTACATATGAGCATCTATGAAATACACCATAAAAGCCATTGAAACCATGGCCTTTACAAACCATATTAAATATTTTTTATTTAGAAATCCTATTAAGAACCTCATTTTATTGTTCTGACAGACTGGCATTTCATTTTTCAATTAAAATTGGCTTCTTGTAATCAACCAATGTTAATAGATTGACTTATTCTGGACATGGACACATTTTGAATTTGTGATGTGAGATTGGTGTTTAATATTTGCTACAGGTATCATGTAACTGTGTTGAAGATATTATTGAGGTAATTTACTGAAATTAAATTTCACTTTTATGTCACATGAGATTTATATAATGGTACAATCAATAATCAGTTTGACCAAAGTGTCATTAAGTGAATGAATCTGACGTTTATGTACCATTTTCTTTGACTTCGTACATTAAGTTCAGGATGAATAACACTCTGCTGAATTAATCAATTGTTAAAAGATGTCTGTTGCTGTTGAATATTGAATTATAACATGACCACTCAATGGGCAGTTACTTTAGAAGTAATTCTGAGATTGACTTGAAGCATATACAGAGAAGATAAAGTGAATTGTTAAGTGGTGACATTGTTTTAGTCTCCAACTTTTTGTGGATGGTGTACGGTTGTTGGTGTTTTGTGTTCAGCCTCTGTAACAAATGACAAGTCATGACATTTTGCATGAAAATGCCCTATTCAGATTTAAAGCAATGCATTTGACATTCTTTAACATGGATATTGGAATAATACTATATGTGCAACCAGGTTGTGACAGTTTCTTTACTATCCTACCTTATTTTTATTTTGGTTCTATTTTCATATTTATCAATGGTTTTTGTTTGATTTTTGAGATATTTTGCTTAATTATTTCTGGATTTGTTCGCTTTAGTTTTATTGGCATCCTAAATCAATTATTTATTTTCCTTTAGGAAGTATGAGGAAGTGATAAATATAACGTTTATACCCAATAATAATCAACTTAGAGAGTGTACTGATTGTTATTATATGGGTGTTCCATGTTATATTGAAAGCTGAAATCTACATCAAGGAACAGTTCCTGATTTATCTAAGTTCAACATAATAACACATTTATACCTGTAAGAGATGTCTGACTTTGCTCAACCATAAGATAGAGTTCAAAGAAACATCAATTTAAACCCCACTCAGTGTTATGTAAGTGATAACTTCCATTTGCCTTAAATGTCAATACTGTCTCCTGGCAAATTATATCAAAATGGGAGTATTTTTGTACATGCTTACACCTGATAGTTACCCTGACATTACTCATTTCTTCAACCATTGACTAAAGTGTAAAATTAACAATATTACCATATATATCATAATCAGTTGTTTTGGTCTTTCATTAAGCTTATTGATTGCCATATTCCATCGTGGCTCTTTAAAGTCAGGATTACACAAGTTCCCATATATCACTATCATAATGATGCTACAATTGAATAAGTGCATGTTGTCTGTATTATTGCAAGTTTATGTAAGGGTGAATTATTGCGATGTATCATGAAATACTTTTTTGTTGTGCATGGTAATGTCTTATCAGGGGCTCAGATTCTTGAACTGTTAGGGCATTCCAGTAAATGGTATTGCTTTCAAAAACACAATCCCAACATTTGGGAATCGAACAGTGTTCATCAGGGGCACAAATTCTTGAACTGTTAGGGCATTACAGTAAATGGTATTGCCTTCAAAAACACAATCCCAACATTTGGGAACCGAACAGTGTTCAATTAATCAACTATAAAAGTTTGACACAAACTAACATAAAGATTTGGTAATATCAACACAAACATTTTTATTCCATAATTATGTACATTTGAATATTTTAATTTATGATATAGTGACAATTAATACATCTGTTAATTAAATAAATTTTATATTACAATCTCTGCCTATCTATCGATGAATTAATACTGATAAAATTATATAATATGTACTGCTGATCTTCAGTCCGAGCAATTCATTGTAGTCACTTCTCCATCTAAGAATTTCCATGTGTTTAGCTGCATTAAAACCAATGGCATTAATTGTTTTATATATAGCTTATGTCCTTGTGGTATGTCATTAAATGTAAAATGAGAAAAAAAATTTCTTATGGACTTATCTTAATGTAATGTTTCTGCTTTACTTAGACTTGATTTGGTATAACGTATAGCTAAGCACATTATATGCAATGTGAATCCCATTGACACTTACACAATTGAATATCCAAATAAGACACAATTCAGTCACATACAACAACTTATTTTTCTTTACATTCACAAATTCATCCAAGATGGCAGCAAAATATCCATTTTTACATTTGGTTCTGCTATTTGGTCAGTGGAGAAATTGATGATAATTTCATGAATACAAAAATAGGACTTGACTCTTCTTATTTTGTTGTACATTATTTAATAATTTGTTGCACCTCTCCCTTTTCTGCCACCATTAATATTTTGAATGGCAGAGAAACAGAAGCCATCATAACATTTACTCCATTATGTAAGACATCCTTTGTAATATGTACCTTTTTTGTTTTGCTTCTCTGAATATCGCCATTGAACCAGTGTCATTAAGGTAATTTGACACACGTTCCTGGTCCTATAAGACATAAACATGGTCAGGTCAAAATGTTTCCGACCCATCAAAATCAACCCCTCTCCCCTTTTAACAAATATGAGAGAGATTTCGCAACTTACCCTGTTTATTCTTTAAGGAATAAAGACCAAGATTTGATGATTTATGACATAATATATGACCGAAAATTGTATTCTGTTCATTGTTAAAAGACCGAAATTGCATAAAATCGAGGTCTTTGTTATGATTCTAATATGATAAACAGATGAGCAACATAACTTATCACCTTGAATTTGCATTTATGAATTTTAGCGGTCATCCATACTCCAATATAGACCAGTAAATCAATTGTTTAGCTATTGTGACGTCACTTATCATATTAGAATCCCATATAACTTATGAAGTTTTTGACTATGTCATGATTTATTAATGCATAGCTCTTTACGTCAATAAGTGTGATATTCTTATACATTTTCCTCTATACTTAAAGATATTTCACACTTATATACGTAAAGAGCTACGTGATTAATGATGACGTAATCATAATGCTTCACAAGTTATACATTTTACACGAAAAATAGACTGGCTATAAGTGAGTTGCGAAATCTCTCGATGAGGAATATATGCACATTAATTGATGGTCTTTCCAAACATTTTGTTGTGCTCTTTTTTGATAGACATCAATATTTTGATCCAAGCATTTGAACGATTATGATAAAACATTATGACTCAAAAATAAATCTTTTAAGCAGTTGTAATACAAGCAGTTTTCAAAGTACAGTATATTGTCATTACTTTAATTATAAAACAAATATATAAATTATATTACTGTCCTGAATTATATTCATGCAATAACATTTAAATAAACAATACTATAAACAATATGTGTTGTGCACCATCTACAAATATATACAAATTTTACTGTTCATTACTATATATAGAGAATGTTTTACATCAATAATTTATTTACACTATACTATGTCATACATGTGTCTCAATTTGGCAAGCAGTAGAACAATTTAATCAGTAATCAGTAACCTGACCAACTTTTGACTTATGGAGAGAAAGAACTGTTTCAACCATGAATAAATGTTAACCATTAATATGAGAAGATCCATTTTCAATTGATTAAGAACTTTCTCTGCACTATGTCATTAACTTCTGGAAAGGGAATATGTGTTGAAATGTGATTAACTTTAAATGGCATTTCCTTTAATAATGTCCTGAAGGGAAAACTTGTCTCATTAATTTGTTATGTCACCACCAAAGTGGTGATATACTGTTATTACCCCCACTGCTGTCTGGAGGTTGACGTCTGTAACAAATGGCAGATGGTGACATTTTGCATGTCACCATCTAACCACCATGTTGCATGTCATGCCTTGTTTTCTATCTTATTTTTATCACCAAAATTTGATATCTTTAAAAGAACACGTTCAACACCATCTAACTTTCTTGCATTTATGCTGAGAAAATATTTAAAATACGACTATTGAAAATCAGTTGCCATACTATCCCTGGTCCTTTCCATCCCTCTCTATAAGTCAAATATGGGTAACATTATTTAATAATGCAATATTGATATACACATATGTATAGTACATGTACTGAGTACCCATACATTTTACAGTTGTAATATGGACATACAATTCACTTTTGAATTTGAATCAATACATTTCTTTATAAACCTAGTTTATAGGTGTTCTAAAGACTTAGTCCTTTTGGATGATTTTGAACTCAAGTTATTTGTAAATTTCCAGTGCTTGCCATGTTTATCTAGTCATACCATAGTGTCAGATGAACAGGAGGGTAGCTTCTTAACGCTTATCATAGAGCTATTTGAACGAAATGATGCACCATTCTGCTGGACTGGTAATTTTTGATTCTTTTTAGCACATGGCATCATAAGTCCCTTAAAAACTTGTCGAAATGGTAAATTTATACTGTAGTAAAGTAGGAAATTGATAGAGAAATTAATTGCTTGAAGAATGTTTCCAATTTTTTGGATCATCTGATAAGCCTCTAAATTGTCAGTTTGCAAAATTTTGAAGAAAAATTTCATGATCTCAGAAGGTGATACGAGTACACAGAACAGTAGGACAATAACAACAAGAATTGTTGTGAGCCTCTGGCGTGTTTCTTTGATTGGTGGATTAGCACTTAGGGCACGGTGCATGTGACGTGAGTTATGCAAAGCCTTAATAAGGCAACAGTTACAAAAGACTAATACAATTAAGGGAACAAAATTACAAATTACCCCCCACATGATACGATAGCCATCTTTAAAAGCAGATGACAATGTAATACTCCCCTGGGCTGGGTAGTAAATGTAGTTATCATTTATACAGACCCTTTGGATATACATTTGGAAAAACCAAGGAATATTGAACAAGACACTAATGATGTAGACGAGGACAATTGCCCACTTGCTCCAGGAGAGCTCTATTGTTGTTCTACATCTGAGAGGGTAACAAATGGCAAGGTAGCGTCCTGTTGCCATAACAACAGTCAACCAAGTGCTTGTCATTATGAAAATGTTAATGAAAGCATGACTGAACACGATATAGTACAGTGTGAATGTCTTGTGGAGAAATATGTGGACCTCTGGCAAGAAAGCGTGACAGAACACAATCAGGCAAAAACAAAAGTCAGAAATTGCCAGTGAGAATAATCCAATGTGGGCTGATTTCTCCATCGTGTCCATTGTTGATCTGATTTGCTTGTGCATTAGTATAATCAAATTTAGTATGTTACCAATAATCCCAAAGGCGCAGATAGTGGGAATAACAGCTTTGTCAATCCAGAAATATTCTTTGTGGAATCGGTTCGGTGTACTCCCAGAGTCTAGATTCTGTTCAAATGTGACATTCTCCAGGAATGCTGTTGAATCATTTCCATCCATTGCCATGGTAAACAGGGACTCGTTAATGCTTTGTATGAACTCAAGGTCAGTTACATTGTAGCCATAGGTGTTCATCTCTGTCATTGTGCAGGGTTCTCCTTGTGAATCTGCAGGAAAATACCCCCTGAAATACACAAAATGAATCTCATGTAAATATGTATGAATTTTTCATCTGTTACACAGTGAACATCATGCATATCTATTTCTGTCTTTGTGCAGGGTTAACTTTGTGAATCTGCAGGAAATACCCCCTGAAATACACAAAACGAATCTCATGTAAATATATATGAATTTTTCATTAGTTACACAGTGACCATGGATATCCATTTCTGTCTTTGTGCAGGGTTCCTCAGGGAAATATTGATCACCCTTAAATGCAAATCAAATTGGTTAAAGCTTGTCATTCCTGGAAATTTCTTAAAAAATATGTTCATATGTTGTTCCTGAAGGATTCATTTACTAGCTGTCTGTCATTTCACATTTATTCAGACATAAATAAAGTAATTTGCAAAATTCTCAGACTTTCATGTTTGATTACTGTTAGAGTGATAAATTAAATGTTTTCTATCTTTACTTCTGATCTAATTTTCTTGGTCATATCAAAACAAGGATGTCTATTTTGAAATTTTCCTTATTTGTCAAATTTGTTAATTCAACTCAAGAATGGTTTTCCTTTTACAAATTGTTGCCCCTTTTAAACAGACTGCAGTAAGGGCAACATTTGGAAAACAGTCATAGAATGAACATGTGAAAAATAAGTTACACTGTTAAATGAAGATTTAAGAAAAAACATCCGTTTCTAAGTGGTTACAATATAAGTTATCTATCTCACTGAAATCCTGAAGTATTTATCTTTAATGATATGAAGGATTGGGAATATAAGGAATTAAATCAAATCAATAACACCTGCTACATTTCACTCTTGTTATTTGTCTTCTAGGCATTTACATTTACCTGTGGCGATAGAACTCAAGCTAATTGTTTTTTCTTGTAAAACAAAAACTCTAGCACAGTAAAGCAATTTAGGTTGAACTATGATATCACAGTTGGAATAAGATTGTGTGTACAAGAGAGAATAGATTTAATTTATGACTGATGGCTTGATGCATTAGATTAGAGCTTTAATTGAAAACCTTAATATACAAACAGTGTTTCCTATTAAAAATGACATGTAACTCTTTTATAATATATATTAATAACACTTGTTAATTGCATGATTTTCTAAAACATTATCCAAAGTGTCAACCATGTTTTCCTGTTTTACTTTATTTTAATTTTATGTGACATCCTCTTTAAGATTTATTTTATAATCTGCTTTACTTCCATATACCTTGTTTCAAATGTGTCATCACATATTAATAATGATATAGCTACAACATTTAACTTCAGAGTTTTGATCAAAACTCAGTTATGGGTTCTTTAATTTGCATTTAAAAATGATACACACTCTTGTTTGATTGAATTACTTTGTTCTGATTTTGTATATTTGTTCTCCAGTAAGATAGTTTTGCAGTATGGTTCTGCCATCAAAGGATCAAATCAGGTATGTTTGTTACAAATAACAAATCAGGTGTCTAATGAAGCAACAACATGAGATCATTTATATTACTCAATATTTCTAAACCAAGAACCTTAGCACATTAGGGACACAAATCCATCAATAAGTTATGAAATTATTTGAGAATAAAGTGATGTTACCTCGGATTGAATTATGTTTAGTAAAATTTATCTTCAATTGAATGGTTAGTTTGTGCAAAATAGTCACAGCACCTTGACCAATCAGAAAGTGAGTAGACACAGGCTTTTCAAAACTTATATTGGCCCACTATAAGGGTATGGCTTAATTAGATTAAGTAGGTATGTCATTAAGTACGAAGTAAATCATCTAGACACTTGTAACATTAGCAATATAATAAAGATAAACTAAATAAATTAACCAGAACTGCGAACATGAGAAAATTAATATCATAGAATGATACATGTGTCTGATAGAGCATGGCCCAGTCACCAAAACCATATCAGTTAAGCATTGTTTGTACAGTAAATAAATGAAAATGTGTATTTATAATAACAATCATAGCAATGATGATACAGAAATATATTTATTTATTGTTTTTCTAATATCACAATTATTTCACTGTTATCGAAAGATGTCCCTATATATGCCTCAAAGGATTATAGCCAAATAGAAGCATCATTATTTATTAATGAAGCATACAGAAATGATACAAAGTGTTGTTATCTGTCAGAAGTCATTCCTTAAAGGGTAATGTAACATATTTGCTTACTTTTGTACTCTGTTATGGTTGATAAATTATCATTCACAGATGTACAGTGACAGAAACCTGTTCATTTAAGTCTCCTGTGATACCACATTGGCTTACCATGCCTAGGCAGTTTGTGATACTCTAGAGAGAATTACTAAACAATTATCTTGTTCTCAAACAATAATTAAATAAATTCAATATACACAATTTTATGTCACTACTAGAAGTGGTGACATTGTCATAGTCTCCATTTTTGTGGTGGTGTTTGGTGGTCGTCAGTTGGTGTATAGTGTTCAACATCCTGTAACAAATAGCAGGCAAAAATTGCTAAATGAGGTTGATTATACAGGGATTATCTATAACTTTAAAAACTTGATGAGAATTGTGAATAAGCACTGAGATATCATTACTGTAATGCTATTTGTTTAGAATTCTGGAACTATTGGTCATGGCCTTAACTCTTAATTATATAATCATAGGAGACAATTATCTATTATTATATTATTTAATTAATCATCAATTCAGTCACTCTAGTCGCATCATTTGGATTGGTTCTTAGCACCTCAAAGTTACATATTAAATGTCAGGTCACATTTAGAAAACCCCTTGGGAACAAAATTGTCAAGTCTACAGCTTTGTTCTTATTTAACTCATCCCTTAAGTACATTTGAAAAACTACACAATACACTCCCCCCCCCCCACACACACAGACACATTTATGATATGAACCCAAAAAATGTACGATATTGAGTCAATCTAGTCGCATCATTTGGATTGATTCTTTGTACTTCAAAGTTACATGATATGAACCCAAAAAAATGAACAATATTGTGCCAAACTATTTATAGAAATATATTAGTCCAAAATTAACCCAAACCATAATGTTATAAATGGGATAATCTGAAAATATGTTACTACAATGAATTCTATTTAGTTTCTTTGCATTCATAGAGCAAGAATCAGAGGCCCTAGAACACAATCAATACTATGTAATTAAATCGGTAGACTGGATATAATGTAAATATTTTTATTCCTCATAAATCATATCATAGAAGAATATTAAATGATGACATATTAAAAATGACAGATATACAATAACTTAAAATTAAACATTAATACAACAAACATTGTTAAAAGATTGCTGTTGTTGTTGAATTAATGTATTTATTTAACATAAAGCAATGAGGAATCTACTCTGACTAAATCTCTGATCTACTAGTATTCCTTAATGTAATCACACCAACAGCTTGTTTTTTATTAAATCCTCTTACAGGAGTTTGTAAAATACCTCAGGTAGATAAGTGGTAATGTATCATTATTTTCTAGGTACTACTGCAACAATACATTGTTTTATTAACACTTACGGCAGCAGTTCAAGATAAAACATGCAGAATTGCACATCCTTTGAAGATAATGAATCTTCAAGTTGTTGGTGGGTTCTTTGTTTATTCAAGTGTACTATTTCTATAAAGAACCATGATGGATATGAAGACATCAGGGCAAGAATTCTGTGTATATTTCATGAAAAGGGCATTAATCATTTAAACACAAGTGCCAAAGGCATAGGTCCAAAAACTGTAAAGAAACCTAGCAAGAAAAGCAAACTTTAAGTGTAAATTTGTCATTAGAAAAATAGACCCTAAATATCCCAAAGCCATGATCTAACACCCCCCTTCCCCCTACAATCGGGATCTAATATCACAATCCAGGACCAGAACACCAAGGGACATTTCAGTCACACTGTCATTACAATACATGTTGAAGAAAAGATTGAAATAAATTACTTATAACATCAAAAATAGTTGTAGATATGAGAACTCATAAAAGATGAAAAAATGTTTAGAATAATTCATAATCATTAGAACGTACACAATAAACCACCACAAGCTGATTCAATCTGAACCAAGGCAATAGCAATTTTGTTAGGGATACATAGAAGCTTTCTGTCTGTCCGCCTGACCATCTTTCTCCAATGATTGACTAAAAATGTATATATTGAACGTCTAAAAATACAGAAAGTGGTTTTAACTATCATCTTTCACGTTGAGAAGAACTAATTTTACACATAAAATACAAGGTAAACCTTGAAAGGGTTGACAGTGTTAACTCTGTTAATCACTATCGTTAATAGTGTTTAAGATGTTCGGATATGTAAATATCACATTGTGTAGAAACTAGACTAATCTTTTGAGAAACAATGAAAAATCCATCTTGATCCATCAAGGTAATACATATATATGAAGGAATACAATGGTTTAACAGTATGGAAAACATCTGAAATATTTCATTTTCCTTCCCTATCATGGTACAATGCATACCCATGTGTTCAACAGCCACACCTAATTGGTACAACCCCTGTGTCTATGGATTTGTCAGTTAATCCAACTCTAAATTAATAATGTAGGTTACCTTAGTCTAACTCCCTTTGAATCTGTCAGATATTGACTTTCATTTTAATATGTGACATTTTGATAAATGCTAGAAACTATGAACACAATGTTTCATTATTGGAAACATATAAATGATGATTTTGGTATTATAAATTGATATTCTCAAACTCAAACAATTCAAACAATTCTGAAGCATCCCCTCTCTAGAAATACAGATTTGATGGTCACATTTAGGAGATTATTCAACCATCACAAATAAAATCTCCATAAAATCAATATATTTGCAATGTTAATGTGTTCAGTCTGTCTTCTATTTTGACTGATCTAAGAGATCTAAATTGAATAGACCAAGCCAGTGAATCATGCACATATGTTTTGATATCACTCCTGCAGCAAATACTTGTTAAACTATAATACCAGGACATTTTGAGTGAATTTACCAGTATTTGTTTCGAAAGACATGTA